TTTGTGTCTCATTCTTATACCACGAAAGGGTTGTGTCATTCAATACAAACCAATACTCATCCTTCTTGTATTTAATCCAATCACTTTTGACAGCACTTTGTTTGGAGGCTTTCTCGGACATTATAGACTGAATGTCGGGTATGGGTCTCGAAGCGGTATTCCTATCGTAATCATAAATCATTTTATGTTAATTTAGTGCAAATATTTAATGCAAATATCAAATACCCAATCATTTTAATAAAGTCCTCATTAATGGTATTCATATAAGACTTTTCCGATTCAACCAAATGCTCGACAAATGATTTGCATTTCTTATTAGACTCGCGTACGAAATCCAATGCAAACTTTGAAAAGACAGCTCTGTTTTCAAAACAATTATAATAAATAAAACAATTAATACGATAGTAATAAATACTTATAAACTATATATTGAATCAAACCTTAATTGAGGATAACGTTCAATATCTGCCACACATTCTGTAACTATAATCACGATCTCATCCGTAACCCAATCGACACAATCGAGTGATATCTTACGAAACAGTTCTGTCGATACAATAATTGAAGTAAAATATTTTTATCTCAAAAATAATAATTAAAAATAAATACCGATTTGATTGGCCACGACAGATATGAAAGCGGTGTCGGGTACGAACACCCCAATCCTGGTGCCAAAAGCATTTTTGATGGCCACTCCGATCTCACGTCGGATACGGTTGTCGTCGTAAAACATTTTATTCACTTCTTTGGCATAAGTGTCGTTCATTAAGGAATTGATTTTTGTTCCGCCATTCAGTTTCTCGGTGGACACCAGCCATGCCTTTCCTCCCACTCCGGCATCAAAACTAGATCTCATCTTCTCGTAAGCCTCGGCTAAGATCTTCTCTTTGTCTGAATCTTCTAATGGGAACTCAATTGTCTCTAATTTCTTGTTGAGTTCCTCTAATTTATTCTGTATTTTAGGCTTTAATGGCGGCAATCGTTTGAAGATATGATTTGACAACTCTGTCTGTAAGTACTCCTGAAGGTATCTGATTCCCATTTTGTCGGCCATGTCTGGTCCATAAGCCGGGTGCTCCATGAAAAACCTGCGTTCATCTGAAAGAGCTTTTCTGATGTCTTTATTGTCGTCGATGTCCTTCTGGGACCGATTGATAACTCCAATGAAATCTCTTTTTAAATGAATTTCATGCCTCCCATTGAGTATATCTCTGGCGTTAGTCCCGGCGTCCATGAGATCTAATTTGGTTAACACACCGATAGTGCGCTCACCCGATGGATCCACTTCTTTAGCCAATTTGAGTGCATCAGAAGTGGCTAAATCTGATTCATTTAAATATACAATATATTAATAGTCATTTAGTGTTTAAATTTTAAAAATACAAATAATTCATACCTTGATTGGCAGCAGTGACGGCTAATATGAGACAATTATCTTTTGAAATGTACTCCAGAATCATATTCTCAATCAATTTCTCGATATCCTTGGGTTGGTTCCCAACGGCCACTCTTGTCATTCCCGGCAAATCAACTAATGTTAGGTCCAATACATCCGGGGAATAGATCTTCAGATTTATTGGTTTCGCAGAAATCCCTTTACTTTCGGGAACTTCTCTATCAGTTTCAGCAGTGATTTCATCTCTAATATCATTGAAATCGTAAAACCGTTTTCCCGGGGAATGAAGAAACTCTCCAAAAGCTGTGAACATATGATTAGCAAAAGTTAATTATATTATTATAACATATAGAATATATAATTTATAAATACTCACATCTATCGATATCTGAATCATTAATCAATTGGAGTACAAGTGGTCTTCGGGTGACAATACCTGAACCTCGGGGTAAAAAGTCTTTGCCGACTATACTCTCCAATACACTCGACTTTCCCGATGACTGACCGCCGATGACTGCGATTTGTGGCAAATCTATGATAGAGTTTTCAATGCCTAATGGATTGAGTTTGTCCTGAAGTTCATTCACTACTTTTATTAATTCTCCGCCTAATTGAGACATTTTGGCAAATATTTTGCTAACAACTTAATAAAAATAAATATTCACTAACTTGTGATTATTATGATCGAATAAAATTATTATGCAGTCAATATCTATTTAAATATATAATTTATTTTTTAATCTTACTGCTTTTATTGCACACCAATTAGACAATAACTGATAAGTAGCTTAGCTAATTCAGTATATATTTAATAATTTCCTATGTGTTTCATTGTCTGGAAGTGAAATACTGAACAATTGATTACATAATACATTAACAATCTTATGAATAATAGGCGACATACAAATGACTCTTATCAATATAATAGATATAATACTCGATCCCATGTTTTAAATACAAAGTCAAATAAGATATAAATGTCATAAATCGGAAGTTGTTATAAATTAATTATTCAATTGGCATATGTTTATCATTAAGAGCCAATCAATATTATTGTAAAATTGTTAGCACCGGTAGACTCTGTTATGTTTTATCTATCGGTAAAATTCAGAGAGAATTCACATAAACTTTAATATCTATAACTTATAGACTATAAGTGTTTCATGAATTATCCTAATATTAAGCAATGACAACCAATATTCCTTAAATAAAAAGTGTAATTTATTTTATAAACGGATATTTGAATGATTGTAATTTTAATCTTATAATTTTACTACAGTATAGTCATATATAAACAGACTTTATACCCAAACTGCTTAAAGTAAATATTTCAAAATTATAATAATCATTGTGAGGTAGATACAATATTTTATACAAACAAAAGTTTATAAAAAATATAATAAAAAAGATATTATTATTGTATATAAATAAATATGACTTATAGCTACAAATGTGTTATAATTTCATTTGTGAAAACTTGTCGATTATGTGAATGACTTCGGTGTAGTGGTTGTGTTGGGACTCCAAATTAATCCTCACATCTCTATCGGGATCGTCACCAATAATATCGCAAATATACAAATAAAGTGAACAAAAATAAATATATGAAATGAATTGATAATTAAATATAACATTTAACAAATTCATTGAACAGTCTGTTAATTGTAGAGAAGTCTGAAGTTCACGCAAACGACTGCGGATTGTGAAGAGCGGACGTGAACTTAATTGTGGAGAACTTGTTGATCACAACAATGGCTTCCGTATAGAGTTTGTGTCTCTTCTGCAGATCAAAAACCGCTTGTCTGTGGCCGTTGTCGCCCACGATATCATCGGTTGTGTTGAAGTTCTTATCGATAGTCGCTCTCAACCGGAAGGCAATGAAGTCGGAGGTCGAATCAATGAGCTGCGACTGACACAACTTAGGCATCGTATCCCTGATGCAAACAAATACACCAATGATTTGACACATTTGTGGTGAACTACTCACTTGAAGTTCTTCTCGAGGATAATCATGTAGGCGTCGACCAACTTCTTGATCGTCTCGATCTGCTGATCCTTATTCGACGGGTACGACACGTCCACAGTATTAAGAGTAGCCATTGAATACGAGGGACTTATCGGAGCAGTCGGTGGAGGGATGGGTCGGTTCGGGTTATACCTAACCCCGGCCTCTATCAGCCAATCCCTCCACTGTTCAGTTTCATCGCGCGAGTCAAACACCAACTCTAATACTTGTCGCTTGGATTTCCTGCATACAAATCAAATTGTTATTGAGATTGTAATCTATATATTGAGCAAAAGTTTGCTAGCTCACTTGTCCAAATAAATCAAAACCAATAGTATCTCCTCTTCAGTGCTAATGTAGGCGCCGTTCAGCACAGCCGAGCCCTCACTACTCTTTTTCTTCTCGTGTTTAAACCAGGAGAGAGTGCCCCCACTCAACACAAACCAGTACTTTATGTTATTATATGATATCCAATGTGCCCTGGGCATGTTTTGGTTTAGAATAGCCGACATCACTGTCTGCGGTGTTTGGGTTTGTTGAGGACTTATAGGCGATGACGGTTCCGATAATTCTCTGTTTAATCTACTATTAGGGGTTCTGTCACATGAATTCATTTAAAAGTTGGATTTAAAATTTTAACTTTAAATAATGAAACGTGATAAATAATTTAGCAAGTTAGTAATGACAATTTTTATAAATTAAAATATAAATATTCTAAATATAGTACAATACCCAATATTTTTGATAAAGTCTTCATGGTTAATATTCATGTATGACTGCTCCGACTTAACATTCATATCCACATATAATTTGCATTTCTCATTTGATTGGCGCACAAAATCGACCACAAATTTGTTGAATACCTCTCTATTTAATGTTCAAGTATTAAGTTATACGCAAACTATAAAACCAAAAATCTTACTTTAATTTAGGTGTGCCCTTAATGGTCTCGATACAATTGATGACAATATTGATGATCTCATCCGTAACCCAATCCACGCAAGTGAGTGATATATTGCGGAATAATTCTGTAATTAAAATAAAATTATTAAACTAATCTTGAACATAACTCAAACATATACCAATTTGGTTGTCAACTACAGACACTACGGCGGTGTCCGGGGTAAACATCCCGGAATGGGTGCCAAACGCGTTATCAATGGCTATATCTATCTGATCGGTGATACTGTTGTCGTCGAAGAATATTTTATTCACTTCCGCCGCGTATTTATCGTTAATAATGGCCCTGATTTTGGTGCCGCCATTACGGCGAGTTGTGCTCACTTTCCACGACTTACCGCCCACTTCGCTGTCGAACCCCCGTTTCAATAGCTCCATGGCCTCCGATATAACCATCGCGTTGTCCGACACTTCGGACATCTCCTGAATAATACGTAGCCTTTCGTTGATTTCATTCAGTTTTGCTTCCAGTTTAGGCTTCAATGGCGGCAATCGTTTGAAGATATGATTTGATAGCTCTGTCTGTAAATACTCCTGAAGATACCTAATTCCCATTTTGTCAGCCATTTCCGGTCCATAAGCCGGGTGTCCAATGAAGAACTGGTGCTCGTCATGCAGTGCTTCGCCTATACTTTTATTGGTGAGGATATCCTTTTGCGACCGGAGTTTAACGCCAATGAAATTTCTTCGTAAATGGATTTCATGCCTCCCATTCAGTATATCTCTGGCATCGGTTCCCTCATCCATGAGATCTAATTTGGTTAACACACCGATAGTGCGCTCACCCGATGGATCTACATCTTTAGCCAACTTGAGTGCGTCAGATGTGGCTAAATCTGAGCATAAATATTGTAAATAAAATAATTATTATATCAAACATTATATTCATACCTTGATTGGCAGCAGTGACCGCTAGTATAAGACAATTATCATTTTCAATGTAATTTAATAGCATATTCTCAATCAACTGATCGATGTCTTTGGGTTGGTTCCCGACAGCCATTCGTGTCATTCCCGGCAAATCAACTAATGTTAGGTCCAATACATCCGGTGAATAGATCTTCAGATTTATTGGTTTCGCAGAAATCCCTTTACTTTCGGGAACTTCTCTATCAGTTTCTGCAGTGATTTCATCTCTAATATCATTGAAATCGTAAAACATTTTTCCCGGGGAATGAAGAAACTCTCCAAAAGCTAGTATCATATTATTAACCAGGTAATTATACTTTTATTATTCAGTATTTATTGTACTAAAACACTTACATCTGTCGATATTTGAATCATTAATCAATTGGAGTACAAGTGGTCTTCGGGTGACAATACCTGAACCTCGGGGTAAAAAGTCTTTGCCGACTATACTCTCCAATACACTCGACTTTCCCGATGACTGACCGCCGATGACTGCGATTTGTGGCAAATCTATGATTAAGTTCTCACCCAATGGGTTGAGTTTGTCTTGAAGTTCATTCACTATTTTTATTATTTCGCCACCAAATTGAGACATTTTAGAATTCTTATTATAAAACTTATTATAAATTAAAATAACCTGTTGAATTTAACTTATATCTTTATTTTAAATTTAATAAACTATTTAATATAAATACAATGTATTATTTAATTTAAATTTTGTTTAATAATTAGACTATAAAATACTCAAACAATGCTAAAAACTATTACTAGTTAGAGTAATTTGACTACCGTATTAATAGCTGTACCTAATTTAAATCATTATAATATATTAATAATTGCTTTTATAGTAAACTAATTTTAATAAATTACTTATATAACATGAAACACCTTATTTAAATTATTATTGCAAACAAATTGTAAAATATATTTGGTTTATATGTACGGGAATCCACTTCATTCAATCTCATTAAAATATTTGTAGAGTTGGTGTATACTATTTACGATAAATATAATTGTATGAAATTCAAAGTTATAATACCGATAAGTTGAATTATAATTCACTTTCGGATAGTTTGATTTGTTTAATTAATCTGTTTTTATTTGATTTACTTATATAATGCTAAATATTATGCTTAAAAACTCGAGTAATAAGTACTTCAACCAACACATTATATTTTAACCTTTAAACCCTGATAAATAGTTGTTTGTGTTAAGTTGTAACATGATACAAATATGTTGTTAACAATTGTAAAAACGTTATATTGTTTTGTCAATATGAAAATTAATTACTTTAATTATAACGTTTATATTGAGTTTATTAGTTAAATTTTTTAGATACAATATTTATTTCTAATTGCTCGTATTTATTAAACATTAAAATAGTGAGTTAGCAAGCACATTACAATTTCCACGTTATTTTATTAAATAATAAAGTATAGCAATGTATTGTACTAAATATTAATTATCTCAATAATGATAAGTAAATGGATTCAAAGTTTCATTTTGCAGAACTTGTCGATTATGTCAATGGCTTCGATATAGTGCTGCTTCCGGTTCTGCAAATCAATTCTCTCGTCTTTATCGGGATCTTCGCCTAAGATATCATCGATTGTCGGAAACTGATGTCTGAGGCGGACGTGGAGTTCGGTTGCGATGAACTTGGAGGTCGAGTCTATGAGCTCTAATTGACACAATTTGGGCAAACGATCCCTAAATACAACAATTATAAGTTATTTTCATATTACAGTAATTGTATTATACTGAAGGTATACCTGAAAATAGTCTTAAGTATGACAACGTATCTATCGATATACTTCTTGACCACATCTACCTGTCCCGGCATGTGATCTGGGAATGCCATGTCTTCGCACGAATGACTACTAATACTATGACTCGATTGCGAGTAACGACTCAACGATTGATTGGACTCCGATTTTGTGTCTTTGTATAGAGACTCGTTGTCAGCCGCTGGACCCCCATTGTCCACCTTAACCCCCACCCCCTCAAACCAGTCCTTCCACTTCAGTGTCATATCTTTTGAATTGAACACAAATTCGTGTTCACTATTTGATCCCAAACTTAATAGTTTCCTATTGAATGGAAACATCTTATAATTTACAAGAATAAAAGTTTTGAGAATTTATTACTTTTTTGGTAAAACCAAAGTCAATGAAAAGTCTGTTTCCGACTTCAAATGAAAGCCCTTCACATCGACTGAACCCTTTTGGACTTTGTGTGTCTCATCCGTAAACCACGACAGAGTAGAGCCCTTCAGAACAAACCAGAAGTCCTTCTTCTTGTATGAAAACCTATCGGACTTTGAGTTCTGTTGAATGGCTTGTGTCGTGACTTTCAGCTGTACATCCGATATAAGACTGGATGTCAACTCTCTTTATAATAAATCAATATATTAGTAATTATACCAAAACACTATATAATATTCTAATATAGTACCCAGTAACTTTTTTGAAGTCTTCGTGGATGGTATTTATATAGCACTTTTCAGTGGCCACCATATGCTCGACAAAGATTTTACATTTTTTGTTGGACTCGCGAACAGAATCGAGGGTTAATTTGGAGTATATATCCCTAATATATCAACAATGTCATTTACCTCAAAATTATCTCTAACATGTACTCATGATAACTAACTTTAAATTTGAAAAACATTTCAATTTATCAATACATTCGTTAACTGAATTGATAATTTCATTGGTGACCCAATCCACACACGCTAGCGATGGCATACGGAATAGCTCTGAAAAATATTTCAGATTAACAGGTACAAATATATTATATACGATATATGAACCCAAATACCGATCTGTGACTCCACACATGAGGTGAATGCAACATCAGGTATGAAAAGTGCTAACTTGGCCCCGGGAGCGTTGAGAATGGCTGTGGCGATCTCCCGACCTAAGCGGGTCTCGTCGTAAAACAAGTGATCCACTTCTTTGGCGAACGTGTCGTTCATGAGAACGTTAATGCGGGCGCCGCCACTCAGCTTCTTGGTGTCCACTCGACATACCTTTCCTCCCATTGCGCTGTCGAAACTCTGGCGAAACGACTCATTAGTTTGGGCCAAATGTGTCTCTTTGGTCTTTTCAGTCAACGGGACCTCCATTTCGGACAACCTTTCGTTGATTTCAGACAATTTGGTCTCCAATTTGGGCTTCGATTGGGGCAGTCGTCGGAGGATGTGGTTTGACAGCTCTGACTGTAAGTACTCCTGAAGATATTTGATGCCTAACTTGTAGGCCATGTCTGGTCCGTACGCCGGGTGCTCAGTAAAGAACTTGCTTTCGTCGGACAAGGCTTTCTGGATGTCTTTCCTATCGTCGATATCTTTTTGCGAACGATTCACGACTCCTATGAAGCCTCTCTTCAAACGGATTTCATGCTTCCCATTGAGTATGTCTCTGGCATTAGTACCAGGGTCCATCAGATCC